ACAGATTCTAATTTTTTTATATTTTATGATTATCTAATTTCCATGTCCCTATGCTAATTTAAGATTAGCGACAAAAAATCGATTTTAAATTTGATAGAGATATTTTATAACTATTCAGCGAGCATACTTCATATAAATGAATCTCGTTTATCCAGAGGTGCCGATTTTTCAGTTTAGTACGTTTACCCCTTCGCGATTGCACTCGCTGATTTCACACTTGATGCACCCAACGAATGAACCGCGCATATCGAATATTCATATCGGCCGTGACTCGCAGGGCGTTATCACACCTGCTCCCAAAGTATTATAGAGGCACCGCGCTGAAAGAACGTATATAACGCTATGAATACGAGAGTGCGCATATCAATTAAGAAAAGGATAGCTTTATCTGTTAACTCTACGCTTATGATTTGATTTTCGTAGATCCAGATTTACCAGAAATTTTTTTTTATTTTTTTTTGGCATATGAACGTGCGGTTGTAGAAATGGCAATGTTAAAATAGAGGTTTAAGTGTTCGGTGTAGTTAACACAGAAACTGCTGCTTGCGAAGGCGATGGGAACTGTTTGTAATCAGATCCGGACAAAGTTTGCATACGAGACAATTTCGCGTGTCCAGTCTGGTAGCTTGCATTGCAACTGCAAGATAGCCTCGTAGGTCCAGGCCAATAGGTTAACTAGTGTCGTCGGATCAGTTGCTATTACCGCTTACCGCTATGCCGCTATGCATAATATCGTATCGAATTATTGTAATATATAAAATCTGATATCGCAATGCGATATTGTTCACGAAATGTATATATCTTCTGGAAAACTGATACTTACCCATTACTTGTGTCCTTCTTCACTTGAAATCATTTTAATAATATACGTTGAAAGTCGGACGATACCTCTTTGCACACGATTACAATACGATTACGATGATGAAAATATGATTTCCATAAATTACATTATTTATTACGTTACGAAATTACAAAACATGCTTTCAAGTGGATATCGCATACTATAGGTGACACTTTGCGTTTTAACGAAGCTGGTACACGATATTCGCGGTATTTTTTGTTAGTCCGGAGTAGATATTCGACGATGATTAACTCCACTGCGTGTGTAAAAATAATTTTCACCGAGACTGTCGTCGGAACCGCTTAAAGAGGAGATAATGCGTTTACCGAATGCGCGACTGTGTTTGCGGGCTCGTCGCAGTCTTCGCAGAGGGTAGTGATTATGCTCTAGTGGCGGGCAAAGTGGCGGGTAAAGCACGAGGTGGTGGTCGTGAAGGAGGCATCGGGCCAGGATGAGAGGCAGAGTGCAGAAGATACGTTGAGATCGGATGGTATACACGTGAAGTGAAGGTGCTCAGAGGAAGAGAGGGCCAGCTCGGCACTTCGCGGGTTACCCGCGGTGAATTCCGAATTTCCAGGGCGTAGCAAATTTCAGAAAGCTCGGGGTATATACCGCCTTGGCTCGGTCGTCAAGTAGGATTTTGCTCGCCCGTGACAACGAATTTCGGGATCGCCGCGCAGCTAAGAGCCGCAGAATTTTATCCCGGCTCGAGATAATGGAAGGACGAAAGGAAGTACACCGTATTTCTGAATAAAAGCTCGCACATGAAAAAATGTAAAAATAAATGCCGGTAGAATAACATCTTTTGTCACACGGATTATCCTATTTCTTTTTTAACGAATATACTTTATATTATATGCGCACGTAACAATTATACGCAGTTCTCTGCGTGATAAATTAAAAATGTTACACAATTCTTACGTGGCCTTCAGCCCGAAACTGTATAACTCGCATTAAGTTATGCTTGTGTTCGACATTTCAAGACAAAACAGAATTTTGTATGCTATACATAAATTATTTCATTCGTCAGATGGTAAGAAAGGGGCTTAAAAACGTAAAAGATATTTCTAATATGATGTTTTATAATACTCGGAGAACGAAGGTTTTTACAATCAGCAATAATATAATGAGCGCTGAAAGCTGATTTGTCGACAGAGTGCTTCTTAATAACAATTTCTCTCTTCAGCCGTATTGACTAGTCGTATAAGATAACCTGGAGAAAAATCTGTTAAGAAAAAATTCAATTTATTGAAATTACGTGCAGTTATATAAAAAATATTCGATTATTGGTTTCAATAAAATCAAGTTAATTATATGCATACATGTTACATGCAAGCCAGACTCGTAATTGCAAGTCTTTAAATTTATTATCAAATACTTTGAGGAAAAAAGATAAAAATTTTGATTCTTTGTGCCTTGAGCTGGTATTTGTTTCAAAATCTTTAAATAGCAAACAGGTACATACGTATAATTAAAGTGATTATAATTTATTGTTTAAAATATATTGGAAAAATTGTAATTAGAAATGCATATACGTACTTGATTTTCCAAAAATCAATCGTAATCTCGGAATATATTCGTGGATTAAATTTTATGAAGTTTGAATAAATGTTCCCTCTCAACTCTCCACAGACTGCTGTTTTCGCGTACCTAACTTCTACTTCTGTTTACCCGCGATAAATATTGAAACTTTCAGTTTGCATGTAAAAGCCGTCAATCAAACGTCGAAATAAGTCGCTTTGCTGATTCACATAATTTCTTCTTTCTTAAGTTTCTTGTTAGAAAGTTGCGTCGAAGGAACTTTCCGAGTTTCATTGTTATATTTATTTTTTATCTTAAAGGTTTAAAATAAGATAAAAGACATGTGGCAAATCAAAATGAGAATTAATCGACACATAAAAATTGTGCGAATGTCTGATGACTAATAAATAGAATATCCAATAAATTTCAGTGATAAACATTAGTAATTTTTTTATTAATATTATTGATTAGTTTTATATAGAAGGATTGATTTGAGCATATAACACATGCTATAAATATTTGCAACCGTATGAATTAAATATATTACCCATATTCTTAATCATTCTTGATATTACATAAAATGTACAATAATCAGAATAATTTATAATCTATTTTTGCTTTTCAATTTTCAAAACGCATCAAAATGAACAGAATCTTCGTAATTTCATTCTCGCCACATTGTAACAATAAATTATCATCTGTTCTCAATAATTGAAATAAAATCTCATTTGAAAGATATAAAATTTTTCAACTACGTGATGACTAAAGAGAGCAAGAAAGAAAGTGGAAGAAAGAAGCTACCAAGAAAAAAATATCCTGCTAGAAGGCAGAAACGATGAGGAAAGGGGAGCGGTCGGGGCGGGAGAAAATTTCACGAAAATGAGAAGAAAGAGAGAATCTTTCCTATTCCTAGTAGTACGAGTCGTACTTTGATCAGACGCAGTGGATTTACACTCACTCCCAGCAATTCTCCCGCTTCCTCTCGTCGCGTCGCACTACCTTTTTCTTTCTCGCGTATCTCACGTCGCTCTCTTATCCCTGTATCCCTCTTTCTTCATATCCTTGCCCCCATCTGTCGCGCTATAGCCAGCATACTCCGATGTCTTTGAAGAAGAACTCGTCGCGCGTCGCGGGCATTTCAGATACCCTTAGGCACAACCGGAAGTGCCGTAGCAATGCCATTACCTGCAGAAAAGAAACAGATACACGGATACAGCGAAGAAGGACAGAACGATGGAGACAAAAGGGAAACTACGAGAGAAAGAAAGGGGGGGGTGAGGTGTAGAGAAAGGAGGGAGGGTGAAAATACTGCAAAGAAAAGCGATCGCGACGAAATCCTTTTCTTCGCGAGAAAGACACGTACACGTCGTCGGTGTCTTTTCCGCGCCTTATCCAGCATACAAAACTTATAGCAGGTGACATTCGTGGGAAATGAGACACGAAACGAGATGTATGTCCCAAAAACAAGATACATTTTACGAGCGACTTGGTTTCCATTTCTCTATAAACTGAACGCTGCTTTCCCGTGTGCACGCGACGATAGATCCGTCTTGCGACTTACCTGCATATACACTGTACACTTATCTAGGTTTCTTTCTAAAACAACGAGAGCCGCGTAGTGCATGCATTCTTTGCTATTAAATCTTACGGATGTGGTTAGTTGCAGCGAAAGGAATATTTATTTTATTGTAATAATAACATATATCTATTTTTATATATGAGAATATGAAGGTAAAGGCGAAATGTTAAAAGGCGAGATATGATCAAGTATCGAAGGAAACTTTATTCTCGTAAGAGTTCAATATTTCTACAAAAAGTGTACATAGTACGAGAGAATATTTCCGTTTACTAAAGACGAAGATTCTGACGTAAGAAGGCGCACAAAAATGTCAAAGGAAAAGTGCATCCACATATGGTATGCGCTTAAGAATCTTGGCCTCTGAAGATTTATATACTCGCGTAAGAATGTGATTTAATAGGTATGTGTTCGATAAATATTCTTGGAATATTTATTCAAGGCATAAAAGATGGAGCCGAATATACTTCCAATGCGCAGATCATACTCCGGAATCTTTTATCGATTTCTTCAATTTTTAACACAATATCCAACATGTATAAAGCTAAGAATTTATAAAGACAATTTATAAAGGACGTGAATAATTTTATTACATTTAGTATTTTTATAGAAATATCAGTGCCTCTTGAAAACTGAAGAATAACCGTCCAAAAGTCATTGATGTTTTTTACAAAGTATTTTTATTTGTTATATATCTGCATTTTGTATGAGTATTTTTGAGTTTACACAAAAAAATGACTTAATATTTATCTAGCCCTGAATATTTATTAATACATCAAGGGCTCTGCGTTTAATTAGCTGCAGTAAAGCCGGCAACGGTCGACCAGAGACGTGATTGTAGCGAGTCGATCTCGAGGGGAGATAGAAGCATGGGGCAACAAGGGGAACGACGTGGTACGAGGCGTCGTCGGGCACGAAATGTTCCGGAATCTAAACTCTGAACTCGAGAATTTGTTCGTGCGAGGACGGAATTTGTCGGCGTGATCGCGTTGCGGGAGATACGATTATACCCGTGGCACGATTCCACCGGGAAGGTAATTTCTTTGTGGTTTTCTGTTGCAGATACAAGTCTATGGCTTTAATGCCGAACTGTATCACAACATGAGCGAGGCGCAGCATAAAAGTCAGGGACTGGTGGCGATCTCGTTAATGGTGCAGGTGAGTGAATTTTCCGTCCACCCGACGAAAGTTTCGTCCATTTTTCAAATTGTTTAAGTCCGTAAAAGTTTTCGCACGTATAACTTCCACGCTATAAATTTTTACAGTTATTTAATCTTATACATCATTAATAAAAACGTAATTAAATCGCACAGATATTAACTTTGCTGCATTCAGTAAAATTGAGAATGCATATGTTTCTGGAAGAATAAACAAAACGTGAAAAATAATTTAACATTAAATTTAAGATGTTGAGTGATATAAGAGTTTCTTTGAAATTTAAAGAATTAGGATTTAAAAATTAACAATATTGTTTAGTAATTATTTTTATTTCGCGATACCTGTGAAAATTTATAGGAAATATACATCGAGTTTAATTAGCAGGGTTTTAATTAAATGTAATAAAGCCGAGACAGTGATCGACGAGAGACATATAACTTTATGTATGCAACAATGTATGCAATTAATATTACACATAACAATGTAAACTACTAAAAAATACATATCCAAATTCATTTACATGGTAATCTATCGATTTCTAACTAAACCCTACGTTTAGTTAGGCGAGCCGCGTAAATTGATAATTATGTTGGTTGTTAACACCTTCGCCGCTTCCCATCCCCCGACTCTTGTCAAGCCATCGTGTTATGGCGAAACCGTTTCTAACATTGCAGGGCGCATATCGTGATGCTAACTTTCTCGACTTCGGACCGCACTTAGCTTCCCCTTACAAATGCATTCAGCGTATCAGAGATTACGGTAGTTAGCACGTGACAGACACTATGTAGCCTCGCTAATAACACTTGCCTTGCGAGGAATAAATGACGAATGTTCGATTACGTTAATTCCCTTAAACTCGCTAATTCTTCCGCGGGAATTTTTGTTGGAATTATATACACATCTAGATGAATTGCCAGAAAATAATTTGGTACAGTCTGACAAGTTCTATAAAATTTTGAGAATAATACGTTGAAGGATGTAACAAATGTTTTCGACACGAGTAAAAACAACTTTAGAGAAATTCGCGTATAAGAGGTATGCGCGCGCGCGCGCATGTGCACTACAGGTAGACCAGTGAAGTTTCTCCAACGGGTATTAATTACATCACGAAGGCGAGGGCGAACATTAGCCGTTATTTTTTCAAGCAGCAAACCTCGGCAGCCCTTACATTTCCAACTAACAATATCATTATTATGGCATAATCATTTCGGTCGGGGGCTGCGCGCAAACACGCGGTAAGTTTTCCAAGACGCGCGGCGTTTAACACAGGAATAAATTCCAAAGTTTTGAGAGGAACCTTCTGGCCGGCTAAAGCTGTGTCGCGACTCTCCTTTATCCCTTGTTCGTTTCTTTCTTTTACGTCTTTTCTTACCTCGTCGGTCCATACCTTCTCATTTTTCTCGTTATAAACGCCAAATCGTACTTTTGACCGAGATCATTCTTTATAAAATAGACAATCACAATAATCACAAACACGCAAATCGACAAATCAACAATTTGTAAATTGTAATTTTTTGTAATTTTGCTTGATACACTGTTAAATATTAAAGAATGAAAATCAAATACCTGATCAAAAACCAATACCTTGAGTTAAATAAGATTTTGTTAATTTTAACTATGCGTGTCGAAATTTATTATTTTTACACAAAACAGTATTATCTTAAATCCATTGGTTTAGTTAAATTAACATTGTTTTAATTAAATTAACGACATATTGAGTAGGAACAGTGGCAATCCATAGAAATGATTAAAAACGACTCAAATTGAGTATAATTTGACACTGCGAATTTAACAGTGTAGATTTTTATTATTAAAAAAAAACGCATTACTTTCTAAAATTATAAATTTTAGTGTTACGAGTTATATATATAAATAATAAAACAAAATTATTAATTTGAGCTAAAATAGCCGATATAACGTGATATTGTAAGTGTAATTTGAAAATTGTATTACAGATATTTATAATATATAAATATCTGTAATATTATTTTCAAATTACACACAATATCACATTACAATTTGTATCGCGTTTCATTACGCAGCATACTGCATTGTACTTTTTACAACAAATAAATTTGCTATTATATTTTTTTCTTCACATGACAACAATATCGAATATATGAAATGTATATCTGTGCGTAAAGAATAAATCGGATAGTATCGATCAAAGCGAATACGATTTTAATATCATACAGAAAATAACGAACCGTTTTCCGTTCGTACTTTTCTTTTCGAATAACGGAATTATTATCGTGGAGCAATTATTTCGCTCATGGATAACCGCTCTCTCGAGCTTCCTCCAGATCATCTACAAACTGAATTTGCAACCTCCAATGGAATTATTATGCCGTTATCTCTTCCTTCACGATCTTCCTTTTTATTTTTTGCTGATAGGAATCTACCCCATTAGTCCGTTATTACATCATTTGAACAAATATTATAATTAATGCATGATGAATTAGCTTTAATCTAATATTTAAATTTTTTGCTTGCTGACATTGTCGCAAGATTGAAAATGGAAGAAATCTTTCTCGATTAATTCGTACGAACAAATTTATACCTCAAAAATGAACTGCGAGAAAAAGAACTTTGCAAAGATAGAGGATCACACACAGAATTTTTTTAACAGTAAACTTTTATGAAATTTTATACCGCCAAATAGAATTAGACGAGAATCTACGTGTTTATGAAATATATGTATATATATAGATATATATATATATTATATATACATGTTTTTCATTTGTAGTTAAAACCACGAATGGACTGAGTTTTCAGCTATGTTATTTGAACAGAAATAGAGAAACGTGAGCCAGCTCGTTCCCACATTTTCTGCCGCGCGAGCGGAATATTTTTCACGTATAATAATCTAAAATGAAAAAGATTATCGTCACGTGATGCATTTTTCCTCCCTCTTCTCTCCTTTTCCTGTAAAGGGTGCGATATAAAACATGCAATAACCACTGCCGACCTGAACTGTATTTATCTTCAGAATAACTTTGAAACTTTCAGCGACGACCTTCTGTCTCCTGCGCCATCTCGCTCGCACCCTCTTTCGGCGAGCGCCCTTTTCCCGTCCGTTTTCCGCTCTCTTTAGCAACTTAGCCTTCGAAACCGCGGTGTAACGAAGACGAACGAAATAAGAGTGGAAAAGAGAGAAAGAAGGAGAGAAGCTGTATGCGTTGCAGCGACTATGCGTCATAACGACGCACTTTGACTCCGCTTGCAGCCGTCGACGAACGACAGCAACTTCTGAATATTTTTAAGAGGGATGTTTACGAGCGCTTTAAGGCGACGACGATGGCTGTAAGACGATGAAAAGGGTTCGTCGACGCGATAATACCGAACATAATAGCGCGCTTTTTCCGCTAGAATTTACAGCCGCGCCTCTACGTGCGCTTTTACATTAGCTCTCGTTTGCTTGCCAGCCCGTCTGCTGATTAATATGACAGATAAGTATAAATATTCATGATCCGGCTTCCGCAGAGATAATGCAAAAGATTTTTTGGTTGCTATATATTCCATAGTAGATTAGTATTCCATCGGAAGAAAAATATTAGAAGAAAAATCGAAAAATTTTGATTAATTGAAATTGCTCAGTCAAAATGATTTTATTTATAGTTATAATTGCGCTATGGATTAATGTTGAATTAAACGTTATAGAAAGTCGCGCGACGCTTCGGATGTGTGACGAAAATGAGAGGGAGTTAAATGTTATTATAAATTAAAATCCGCATAAATAGAGAACACTTTGGGTGACCGCGAAATATATTTTCGCCTTATAAATTCCAATGAGAGCAAAATATAAACCCGGGCAAATGCAGCGGTTGCACGTCCGAAAAGGTCAGTGTTTTGAATAATCCCATTGCGGCATCATCCTTCCTGGAAACCTTTAACAGGTGCTCGATCTCCCGACGAATAGATCGTAAAGGCGTGTCTGGAGGCAACGGGGTTGACGACTGTAATTCAAACGGATTATACCCTGGGGTGTCTGAGGGATGAGATCCAAATGAGTCGGTACCTCGGTGATACACCGTCGGTATTTCTGCGATCTCAGACCTAAACGAACTCCCGTCGACGTTTTAACGCGCAACGCCGGAAACTTTCAAAGCGTCAATACTCCGTAAAACTCCGTAATGCGCTAACATGTTGTTCTGAATTTCAACATCAAAGGAACGATTCGTTATAATAGACGCAGCTTGATGAATAAACTCATTGCGATTTTTATAATTCGCGCAATTATGCGACAATTGACGCGATTATGCGCCACTTTTACGTCTGGCCTTGCGACCGTTGCGACGTGTAAATAGCGCGTGCCGTCGTCGTGACAATTGCTTTGTGGAATGCGAGAAGGTCAGAGAGAAACTACAGTGACTAAATGGAATCGAAAGTTTCTTGGAAAGAGAAACGGGGAAATCGCGACCTACGACCTAAAATCTGTGAGGTGTATAAGCGTCATGCTGGAAAGCTATTGGGAAAAAAAAGTTCTTTCGGAACCCCCCCCCCCCCCCCCGTTCGAGCGAGGTGGAAAAAGTTTACTCGCAACACACGCGACTCCAGCGACTTTATTTTCGCGAATTGCTTGTGATTCATCGCAAAGGTAAATTACGTACAAACACGAATTCGTGATATTAAAAGAGCGAAATTTGCATGTAAAACAGTTAATTTCTTTTCGTTCTTTTGAAAGTAAAAGGCTCGATGTGATCAATTGTAGTGCATTGTAATTATAATTAAGAGCGCAATAAAGGCATCGCACTCTCCTTTTTTCGGTGGACAAATATCCTTTATCAATACAGTCAAATGACTAGCATGGCCGGTTGTTTATCACTTTAACTGCTGCGAGGAAATTGCTAACCCGTAATTACGCTACGCGTCAATTTAGCGCGGCTGTCAGTCAGTATAGTCCTGATCTAATGACAAAAGACGGGAATTCCGCGCTATCAAAGGAGAAATTCGGTCGGCACGAAGGATCCTTGTGTTCCTGCGAGAGACGGAGAGAGGGGGGGAGAGGATGAATGAATCGGGCTTGCTAATTCCCCACGTCCGTCGGGTGGACTGCATAATATGACGCGAACCCGAGCACTGGCTGTTCCCTGCACCGGTTCCAGGGCAATACACTTTATCTGCGATCATCGTAGCGCGGCCAGAAGTGAGACCAGAAGGACCTCGTCGCGCGATCGATACGATCTCAGGACGGGGCGTCGTCGTTGGAGCTTGTTTATTGCCCAACTGCCGCGGAAATTACGAAGCTACAATTACAAATTAGTGTACAGTTGATTTGCCAAACAAGTAACAACATGCTGACGGCGTAAGCCGCAACTGCAGACCGGATTTAACTAGATAGACTTTGGTCGTGCCATGTTGGGATTTAATGCAGCTGATTTCGCAGTATTTTACATTGGATGTTGGACATATAAACGCAAACGGTGAATTAATAACGGTAAATTAAATATATTTTTAGGAAACTTTTTTAGTAATTAATTTAAACGAAGCAACAATGAAATCGGAAAAAACATACATTATCGTTAATAATTTTCGATGTAGAAAGAGAAATGTACTTCTCGTTTACTTTTAATAAATATTTTCTAGATTTATATTTTTGTTGAAAATTCAAATGTTCGTGAAACATTATTCGGCAAGTGTCATGCATGTGAACAATGTCAGTATAACGTGTTATAAAGTTTCATCGTATCGGCGATAAAAAAAAACTTTCTTTTGATTAAATGAATATGAAGAAATCATGATTACCGCGAATTTTCTCAGTTAAGTTTATCCTAGAGCGACGAGATTAAGAACGTTTAAGGACGGCCGTCATTGAGATTAATTCTCTTAGCTCATAATTAAGATTAGGGTCCCTTTATTACAAGAAATTTAAACGGAGATTAAACCGTCGGCGTCCGCTTACCTGTCTCGCAACTGAATCTCGATTACGTCCTATGTAATTCTCAAGTGTCTGGATTAAGAGGTAAAACAGTCCCCACCTCTTTACATAACTTATAGCTCCTGATAAATTCAATAGTATTATATCCATTTAGCCGATAATTGTTGTATCATAAAACGCTATGAAATCTTATGAAACAAATATATAAAACATCTGCGAGATATAAAGTCTGCACTCGAATATTAACTTCTTCTTAAAACATTTAAATCGCAGATATTTTAAAATACCAATTTAATTATCGTAAAGTACATTTTACGTAAACGAGGAGGGATCTCAAAATCTCAATATTACGACCAAAAATATTATATAATGCATTTTTAATGTACTTTATATTTACACGCGATTTTTTTCTTTGCTATAATGATTTAATCGATGTCATCAAAGGTTAATGGAGACATTGTTTCTCTATTATTCATTCACAGTAGCTCTTTTGTAAAACGTTCTCTTATGCGGTAACAACATTGATAGTTTTAATTAACGATTATCCATAAATCTGGATACTGAAGTATATACGTCCATTATAAAGAGAAGTACCTCTGCCGCGCGCGCAATTCCATCCCCGATCGTATCTCACTTCATTTTATCCATCTTCTTATCTCCCTTGTTTACCTCTATTTACGGAATAGAGAGACGAGGCGGAGGCGGCGATAATAATTTTGTGCCACGGAATAGGGAAACGGCGAAACTTTTGATCGACGGCGGACCCACGCGGCCGCGCCGCGCAGATCAACTTTTATTATTTATAGTTACTTTAAAGTCCACGGTCGGTTTAGTCAGGGGTTTTACGGTTACCTTTAATGGCGCCCAGTGTAGAACTTTCGAAACGACTCTTTGCCTTCACCTCTTTATGCGGTGCACTTAGCACCGACCGAGCAACCCCTTTTCATGGGAAATCGATGGAAAACGTATCAGGGCGGAGAAAATGGCGCGGGGGACAGGGGCAGAATGGCGAAGGACACATCGCCGACGCGACGGTGCATGCGGCGGGCGGGTGTTGGTGCTGGTGATGGTGATGATGGTGATGTTACGTGCGGTATAAGGTGTCACTGTCGTTTAGCCGGATACACAAAGAAAGCTGTTTTCTGTTTCAGCTCGGCGAGGTGTTAAATCCCGAGCTGCAGATCATCACCAGCGTGTTCAGCAAGGTCATACATCGAGGTGAGTACAATACATCGCGGAGGGAGGCATAAATCGCTTTCTCCTACGCTCTTTTCCTAAATCAAGCTGGAAATTCTGTCGTCATCCTTGACTCTCTATTGCGTAATATCACGCTCGCTTGTATCTCGTTCAACGACGTGATAACTTTTTCCCTCTTAACCCCGCAACTTCGAGGTCTTACTGGATGAGATAGCTTTTCCTTTGTGTGCGCGTAATGCCCATTTGGCTATGATCTCGTTCCTCTCATATACGCGGTACATCTTAAAGTGATATTAAACAACATCGAATTCTAATTTTTGTAATTTTGTTATTAATTATATGAGTAAATATAAATAATGTATATACGTTGCCGCATTTCCCGTCCGAGCAAATAGCCTCATAATTGGCGAAGAGTATATTTACAAAAGTAAATCGCACGTGTCGTGTTTAAACGTTGCTCCATTATTTCCTTAAACAATCAGAAACTTGTGAAACGTAATAATTGGCATACGAAATGTGTAATTTTATGTTGGAAAAGATCTGATTTTGAAAGTAACAGTAAATTTTAATGCATCCATATTTATGCAAAATTGCAATCGGCGTTCTGATCTCTTCGATGCTAATGAATGCAGGTGGTTATTGATGTCGAGACAAATCAAGCGACGTGTAATAATTATCTATTCGTGATCGCTCTTCCATTGGTGCTTTTTACAATGTACGTCGGACGATGCGATGTAACGACAGACGACGTAACTATGCCGTATTGTGTCGCCGGAACGTAAATCCTGAACAAGCTGTGCGCAGCTCGATACTAATTTCCTACCCCAACTAGATGTGTCATTGAAATCGTCTCGACGTACTCCACATCGAAGGAACCTAATATATGGCGCTGCACACTGGCGGATCCTAGAGGGGTGTTTTGGTGTTAAAACTTCAAAATAAGAAAAAATAGTTTTGTGGGCTCTGTTTAAAAATTTAGCACAAAATGCATTAATATTAAAGCAGGCTCTATAAGAAATTTCACCGCGTCCTCTCATTGATCCTGGAGTAAAAGCTAAGCGTGATACCTAAAAAAAAATATCAAACCAAATATAACAAAAATAATTTTGCCGAAACACTCCCCATATTATCGACAGCAGGATCCGCTAGTGGCATAAGAGATGAAACTTCGGAAAATAATGAGATCTAATTATCTCGTATATATAGATCTAGATGGAAATTCAATATCCCTAAATATTTTAAGGAGGAAAAAATACTGGACTATTTTATAGAAATAGACTTTTTATTCTTGGCATTTATTGGTGAAAAAAATATATATATACACAAAAATATATTTTCTTTACGTTTTAGTTTCACCAAAGTTATTTCTACAAAGTTATCACATAATTTTTCTTTTCACGAACATCAATATCCGATCGCGACTTATGTTCGTAAGAGAGATGAATCAGAGATATCTAAATATGTTAGAAAACCAAAATCAGAAAGTTTTCTCGAGCCAAACGCACTTAGTATCGGCGGTAACCGAAATTCTCGATTCGTTCGACGTCGCCTGAAAATTCTGAAAGACGAGGCTGCAATTAGTGAGCTCCCGTTAAAAGACTAGTCTGCGAAAAATGTGGCGCGGGCGAGGGTCAGATATGCGGTTTCGCGATGAATACGCGCTTCACGCATCGGATACTCGCAGCGAGCTTCTAACGGAGAGTTGCCCGGATGCTGCGGTTCGCCGGAGTAACCGCGGATAATAAATAAAACGCCGTTGGGAGGAGAGAAGAGTGTCGGTTTTGCCGGTGATACTCGGATGAGGCTTAGAGGGGCGGCAACGGTGGCGGCGGTGGCGGCGGCAGCGACGGCTGTAGCGGATGGCACTCGAGTCGAGAGTGAAAAGTCGAGAGCGGGGGCCTCTACGAGGAGGAAAAAGACGAAGGGGACGAAATGACTCTCTTAAGATAACGAGTCACTTCCTCGACCCACCGAGTATTCGCGCCAGCGGAGGCGTCTATGTCGCCGTAGGATAGAGTGAAAAGCACCCTTTTCTCTCTAATCTTAAGTTGGAATTTATAAGAACGATGAGTTATCATATCCGGTTGGATAAGTAATGGATGCTTTCCGGAGAGCCGTTTCTAAACACAGTTAATAACTCTCTTTCATATCTTTTAAAATATAGATCTGTATGTCCAATGACTGCGCACGTTTAATTTGTAAATGAGTAACACGATAATTTTTTTTTTGTTAAGAACGATATCCTGAAAGTCATCCCTTTTATCGCGTAATGTCTCGCATACTTATAAATAATTATCGCAGGGATCGTTTGTATCGTAATACGAGGATTATAAATACGCGTTCCATTGAGAATGACAAAAAGTAAAAGTAGCAGCGTGAGTATGAATAACGAGAAAGCGTTTTAGCGGAGAGCAAGAGTAATGAAGAAAATGCGAACCGACGGTGTAAATTACTTACAGTAATGCTTTCCCGTGCATCGAAGTAAGCGAAACAATGCTACTAGACAACTAGTTAATAAATTTCCAGCTTTCTAATTACCATAGAGTAATTAGTATATTTTCTCTTAAAAAGAGATAATCGTTGAGCTACGTCTCTTTGTTTTTTTTTCGCGAGTAATTGTAATTTACAATATTTAAAATAATAAATTGTTTGTATCAATATTTATCTGGCATTTCGTGGGTGCTGTCGCAACCATACATTTGTTAATATAACGTTATTATATATTTTTTATTATATTGTACGCTTTTTCCAAGTATTTAACATTATAATTCTGCTATAGCAATTTTTATATTAATCTGATTTTATCGCTTTCATATCATTTCACGCAAATTATAATTAACTCAACTATGCTAAACACTGAAGCGGAAGAAAATTGTAGCGTTGTGTCAAAGCGCCGATAACGCGCGCGCGCGCGGGCGCGTTATACCGGAGCATGAATTGAGTCGCTGTAGGTAGCGGCGCGTTTATATCATCACGATCCGTCCGCGATTTTTCATAACTTGTCTCGGCGAATTAACGCCCGTCAGAGCCTCGTTACGATATTAAAATTAAATGGATGGCGCGCATAATGGATTATAGCGCTCGCGCCGCTGCGTCAAGAACGGGCGCGAGCGCGATCCGCCGTTTTGATGCATCGCGCCGCGCCGCGACTTACGGACGCAAATTGCGCCCGACATAAAATCGAAATATGATTCCCTCTCCTTCGCACGGTCTTTCTCCCTTTCTGCCTTTCTCTCTTCTCCCGCAGATTCCATCGGCGCAACGAACTTCCTCCCGCGATTTGCATCCGCGCATCCGCCGCCGCGCCGTCTCGCGCGCGCGCCCGCGACGGCAAGAAAAGCGCCTCGTTCCTCGTTCAACTTGCGTGGCATAATTCTGCGAATGCCACGGCTGGTTGCATTGCTCGACGAGGAAGAAAATAAACTTTACAGCCAAGTATTCTCGTGGGGGAGGGCGGAGGGGGTTTAGAGAGTGGGACGAAACGCCGCGCCGGTAGAGAGAAGGGCGGAAGGACCATCGATGCGCACTCGGTGTGCTTCCCGGTAGGATTTCAGATACCGCCTCCGTCACCTCCTTCAGTCCGTGGGTCCGTATAAGAGAGCGTTCGGTGTCTCCTCGGCTAAACGATTCGACCTGGAAGCGTGCCTGGCGCTTTTTACACGGTTAACACGATCAACGCTCCGGCAGGCGCGTGATAGCAGGAGGGACGGAGGGGAAAGGGGCGACACGGGGGTCGATTTACAAGGTACGGCGATGTCACATACTCCGGCCGGCTGGTGTGTGCATAAATCTGTATGCGCGCCCGGGCACGGCTATGTGTGTATTTTAATCAATACCCTGTTGACACCGCGACCAGGGAACATAAATCATAAGACAATGGAAAATGGCGCGCGGGGAGGAGGAGCTACAGCGGGATCTAAGTATTCCATTGTCGTGTACGTGCCGAGACAGGCACGTTGCATACACCGAGGCCCACAATAGTTCGCCTATGCCATCGTGAAATTTATTTAACTCAAGCTTTTCATCAGCTAAACATGTTTTTGCACACAGAACGCTCGCGTGCAAAAGCGTCCGCGCGCTCGCCAATGAACGAAACCGCGTGGAACGACGTTTTAAAGGGACTTTTTTATTTAACGCGACGATATCGTTGATCACTGTCGAGCTGTCACGATTGTGGGAAAGACATTCCTAAGAGTTTTATCGAATTAGATGAAGCGACAAAATGAAATTTCCTCACGACGCACGTAATGCATATTAAGCAACGCTTGTATAAATATGCAAAATACTCTTAACAGCTCGGATGTAAGTTAAGCGTTTAATAACGCTTCTACGACAATGCAATCGCGAGAAAGTAAAGACTTTTCATTTATCCACGCACTGCGAAATTGATTTCATCGGCATCATTAATAATAACGTCAGTAATATCTCTGCCGAATCGATTTCGGGGAATAATGTGTTTTTAAACCTTGATCAATAATGCGTGTGACGTAATTAACGATGATTACGACCAGCGCAGATGGATTGGAAAAGCACGACGAAAAGCGTCAACGCGTCATCGAATATTTCCGCGACGTATTCGGAACGTATCCGTTTATTCGCACATGATTTTCGTAAGCCCCCAGTAAATTATGTATCAGAATTACTAATTTTTATTATAACTGCATTCTTCAAATTGTTGCATCAAATCTGCGTTGAACAAATTGTTCGACAGGGTATGTCCATTACTTCCAATTTTATAAAGCAATAATTTCCACTCGATAAATGAATTTTCGAGTATTCACACATATTCGTCACGCCTGTGATATATTTTAATATGTCGTGCCTGGAATATTTGGCAAGAATAAACGTAAATTGTTTTAAAATTTTGATGAAGCAATAAAGGAAAAGATAATTTTAAACTAATGGAATCTATTTCTCACGCGCGAATGTGTAACATTTAAAAACAGTTTTTTTCCTGCAAAAATGGCATGCATTAATGGCTGCATTCCAATATTCACTGCAAGTACTGAAAATCTATAGCT